AGAAATATAATTTGTAGACGGAAGGAGAAAAGCAATCTGCAACCTTATTATAATCTGAGTATCTAAATTGTAAAGTCCACTATTAACTTACATTGGAAACGTAAATACCAGGTCCAAGGCTAGTCTAAAATTAGGTCTTCACGACATCGACAGGGTGCTCAAAATGTAGACAGCTTTCCCTTTTTGTATGGTTATGCTAATACGTTGAAGAAGATAGCTGCCAACCCTTGGGTCGTGTCGCAGTTGGTAAATTTTTAGAGGTATTTACCGGGTACAAATTTTGTTCACTAGCCCGATATTTCAATGCATTTACATGCATAATGATCAATTGATAACTACAGATGGGGACCGCGAAAGTATTAAATTTATAAACATAATGTCGTTTGTCATTGTTTGATATATTCTCGAGATGTCAACTCTATTTTTGTCTAACAGTGAGATTGTGTTTTGATTTTCCTCAATCCTCAAAATAAAAAATGGTTAATTTTTTATTTTCGGCACCTTTTCCAGATTTTTTTTTAATATAATTATATTAAATAATTCGATAAGTAATAAGCTTAGTGCTCTAACCTTATTAGGGTAAGTAACACAGTTGTGGTCTTACGCATCCTGGTGTAAAGCTGCAGCTTATTAGTTGTAAAACATTTAATTACGAGGAAGGAAATCTTCGGCGATAACCGGTGCCGGATAGTGACACAATGGCCAGTCATTGTTTTTGCGCCCACTATCTGGTGTTTGCGGTCGGCGCGCCTGTTTGCGAGTCAATTAGTGGCTACCTAGCCTCTGGCTGCCGCCTGCCGACTGCCCGCACGAAACAGTGCTTTTAATCACTTGCGCTACGTACATAGATACTTATAGCTTAAACGAAGCTATTTTTGTTTAAAGTTGTGACAATGCGACCTCTTTCATTGTCATCTTTTCTCTGGTTCGTGGTCATTTACTTGAAATTTTGAATCGTTCTGTAATTCTTTTTCTTCGCCATTCTTACTTTTATTCGTTCCGTCGTCACTCCATACTAAATTCTCGTGAGCAAATATGCTCTTAGTAACCGCTCATAAGCAGCAATAACACGAATACTGTTCTTTCTTTCTTCTTTCCTTCGCTTTTTTCCTGTTAGACTTCTACAATAAATTCATGCGGACCGATCGTTACTTATTTCATTACTCTACGTGAGACTCGTGTGACAACGTTTATTTCCTTGCTGATGTACCTTGTTACCGAAAGCTACCTACTATTTTATGTAGTACAAATAAATGTGAAGTATGTGTTTCACTTGACTAAATTAGAACTCGTCCAACTGTTTAACGTTTAAATACAAGCAAATATTTTAAGAACCTAAAAAGAATGACCTTACGATCTCGTGTTCAATGTTATTGATTTAATTTTATACAGCACATTGACTTCACTTGAATCGTAATTTAACAGACATTACCAATCCGAAAGTTTCACGTGTGATCTACGAAATACAGAAATGGTAAAATATTAAAAACAAAATCCGTACAGTCCGGCCCTGCCCCCCTGCGGAACTAGCGGCTCACCCCCTATTTTTTGCGGGTAGGTAACGTGCTCGGTGACACCTCGCGCGGGTCAAGTGCGGTGCGGGGAGGGGCGCTAATTCCGAGCACGTGACCGCACCCCGCCCCTCGTCTCACACCCCTCCTTGGCCCTGCTTCATTTTCCCGCCGGATTTGCGTTCATACAGTAAAATAAAAAGGGCGATTTGGCGCCCTCCATCGACGCCGCCCGATTAGCGGCGCCCGGGGAAATTAAAAGTATTTTATTCCAGCATTTATTCCCTTTTTGTTTTCGCTGAATAATCCGAACGGCTTGCGGCGTGCGTGTCCCTACACCCGTACCCGGCACGGCATGGCGGGGTGGAGCCCTCAATGAATGACGGATGAGATGATATTGATAGCCGTGTTGTTATCATGTGCGTATGACACCCCCACCATGCCGCGCCGCCACCGCTGCCATCCGCGTCTATTCACGGATTATTGCTGTCGACTGCCGACATTCCACAAAGTGATTGCCCGCCATAAAGCGCATTTAATAATATCATTTTCACGAGCGACCTTATTGAAATTTTACAGCTCTGCCAAAATGAAGCAATAAATCAAGTTAGTTCTTATAAAACAATCTCAACTCAAAACAGTGCCAAGCCAACATAAATCCATATTTTGCAGCTTTTTTTAGCAAGGGAGAGGCGGGGCGGGGCGTAAATAACTCGTCCATAAATCAAATATTAGCTGTATAAAACAAGCAAGGGACGCCCGCTTTGTCCGCGCCTCCAACTTCCGCACATAATTCTCCTCGGAGTCATTAGAAAAAGGCTCCTATTACAAAGCGTCTTTGTAGCCATTAGCCTTACTGGATAAGCGTTCAGCAAAAAACAATTTTGGCAAAAGCCATCATCGCCTCTGTAGGTATTCTGGTACTCGAGCGCAGCAGAGACATAGCGACGAATTTACAAATGAGTTTTTTCTCCCGCTTATTTAATAAGCAAATTGGAATGCCGACTCCGAAAACAAACGCCTACCTGAATGTTAAGTGGAGCGGTAACAATAACTTGCCCTTTAGCATGCGTCACCGTAGAGCGACCGACTGGAGGGGGTTCTAATATTTCCGGGACTTCTCACAATACATCCCTTTTTCACTGAATGAAGAACATAATAAAAGGCTTTTAAATACTCGATTTGTTTCTAAGAAGTCTGACGTTTAATGCCACGATTGGGAAACGTTTATAATTTTTTTCTCACCCAAATTCAAATTGTTTTCATAAAACATAAAAATGCCTTTCTAAGCATAAATCTAATAAGCTCACTGAGCCGGAGATTAAATTTCTTTCTTTATTTTAGGGATCAGTGAAAAGGGAAAGTTAAGATGGTCGGCAATTTCAGTCGGTAACAATAAAATATTATCACAAAATATTTACTTGAATTTGCGTAAGCTATATTTTGTAATGTGTAGTCGTTAGGCGCCCCTAACATTGTGGCGAATTGTGTAACGATAATGTTCGTTTTCGATAAGGGTGGGTGTACCCTATTCGTACAATAATCTTGTTTGATTTGGCACAGTTGGTCAAATGCAGAAATATGAAAAGCGGCATATTGCGGAGCATATTGCGAATGTCGAGTGCAACGGCTGCATGCACCTCTCGCTATGAAAACGTCGTGGCTCAGCACAACAGTTGACTCGGAACACACACACCCGCCGCGCACAATGACGGCGGGAGACGGCGGCGGCGGGGGTGGGCGCGGGGTCTGTGACGATGCAGTTTGCACCGCGGCCTCCTCCATCCTTCACCAACTTGCGCCCGTGTTCTTGGGAATCGTTTTAAATTCAAGAACCGCAGAGCACGTCTCGCCTGAACCTGTACTCTCAATCCACGGAATAGAATCCAAAGTCGACCCTTCAACTTGTCATAAGCCATTCTGAATATGAAACGTTTCTTCACCGCATCATAAGATTTAAAACTCTACTCGGTCGACAGAAAGTTGAGAATCGCATAAATAATACAAAAATGGCAGCGAGTCTTGGTGTGAGTGCGGAGGTGAGAAATACATTAGTGGTACCGTTTTCTATTGGTCGTTGCTCCTGTGTTGATATTAAGCAGTCCACGTGGACTACTCCGTGGTTGCTTGTCTCGTTTTTTTCGGCGGGTCGTTCGCTATCCGTCCCGTTCTAATCTACAACGAAACGTGGAATGTCATGTCCGGAGTTGTTCAGAAAGTCGTGAGCGTGCATCGTGCTTCCAACTTCACACGCAGTCTAAAAAGAGCCTAAGTTTCTTTAAGATTGTCCTCCACATGGAGTTTAATGCTAATACGGAGAGCTTAGTATCGTATGGAATGTTGTATGGTTTAAATGTTTGTGTGGATGAGAGATATTGATAAGCATTTTTAAGTCAATTAAGGTTGTAAGCTAAAAGCGGTTGTTGCTACATTTAAATTATCGGTCGGCATTCAAATAACGCCATTTTTTCGTGTCGGCACGATTTTATTTATGGTTATGTATACGTTATAGTGAGTATAATAACGCGGCGTGGGCGATGCGATACGACGCATAACGAATATAGGGCATTCATTCACTTGGTCACGGATATCAGTTTAGTAGCAACGACTCTATGACTCTACAAAACATTACGCCGACAAAGTTGATTTATTAGGTGCTAAACGCGTACCTACACGGTGAAAATAGGTCTGCGTAATTTGTTTATACCACAACAACATTGTGCTGGCAAGGTAGAGACTATAAAATAAAAGATTGTTATTTTTTTACCTACATTGTAGAAAGCGTTTACCAAATTACATTTAACTGTTTCGAAATAACATAGTAAGACTAATTTAAGACATTAAGTTCGTTATTATTATTTTGTAGTGAATAATTAACTCAGTATTTAATTTTACTAACTCAAAAACTTTTATGAATTCCGCATTGTCAAACCATAGCAGAAAAGCATTGCTTTGACATCTATTGGTAGATTGTTAAACTATACCTGGAAATAATCTAAAGCGACCTCTAGTGAACACTACTCACAATATTTTCAGAACTGATTTAGCAACTAGTACATGTATATTTTTGATAGGTGGCGCTATAGTTGCTGTTTTGGCTAGTTTCGTTTCGTGAATTTCTTCGCGATTTATTTTATTTAAATTTCAATTATACAAACTTGTAGATAAAATAGTTTAGTTTACAAAGTAATGTATTCAAGATTTGTGGGATGTTCACGTGTTTTTATTTAAAATTTTCTGTAGAAAATTCTCATATGTTTATGTATTTACTATTTTTTAATATTTCATTATGTAACGAATATTTCCCTCAAATGTCAAATCGTAGGCAAGTTGTTGTGTTCTGCAGTGTGCGTAAACATATAAAAAATTTCGCATAAATTAATGAAAATAATTACTAGTTGCTGTGCAGGAGTTACAACTAGTTGCATTAGAGCTTAAGTTTATTTATAGCGATATTTCAATAGTTCTGCAACGTGTTTACAGAGTGCCGAATATGCCACCTCGTATTGTGCTACTGTTCAGCGGTAAAAGGAAATCGGGGAAAGACTTCCTGACTGATCACTTGCAAAAACTGTATGTATATTCATTGCTACGCTATCTTGAAGCAGTTAGGCAGTCAAATAATAGACAGATTTCTCGTAAATCTTTTGGATTTGATTTGGATAAAAATGTAAAGCACAGTTCCTGAATTGGTTTTGAACAGTAGACTTAATGAATGTTTTTGCAAAAAACTAAGTTAATTCCAATAATTACGTCGTAGTTCATTTGAACTATAACCAGCAGAAATGAAGTTGGGACAGGGACAGGGAGTTAGTCTCTCAATGTCGACATTCATCACAATGCGAAAACTCTGTAAGACAGAATGTAAAATCTCAAGTTAATTTCTACAGATCTCTTTACAAATATCGGTTTTTAAATATCTAAGGCTAGTTATCAAAGTGATAATAATTTTGATGACTGGACATTGTATTGTTTTGATTATTTTATATTTATTAAATTATAATTATCCATGAAATTTTCCCATATTTATGAAATTTCTATTAAAAGATGTATAAAACAGAATCCTGTTTTTAGTATAGAAAAACATTGAATTATAATGCATGTTATTCATAATCTTTTCAGACTCGGGGACAGATGTGAAGTGATAAAAATCTCTCAACCAATAAAGAGTCATTGGGCAAGAGAAAAGAATTTAAATTTGAATGAGCTGCTTAGTGACACCGAGTACAAAGAACAGTACAGATTGGACATGATAAGGTGGAGCGATGAGATGAGGGAACAAGATTATGGATGCTTTTGTCATGCAGCTTGTCAGAATGGTAAATTGTTTACTTTAACAATTTATATGAACATTTGGGAGTCTGAAGACGTATATTATATTCATTTAATACATTTAATTGTAGCAGTTGAATTCCTTGTGAAAGAGTTCATCCACAGAACTGTCACCTTCCCTATTTCTGCCACAAAGCAGTAATGTGAGCCTTACTGCATTCCGGTTTTGAAGGGTAAGGATGTTGGTGAAATTACAGGCACATGGGACTTGTCAACTAATGTCTCAGGGTGATGGGCGCTGTGTCAGTGTTCGTCAGATCCTTGCAATTGAAAGCTCTGAGTGACACTGCAACTGCTTTGGACAGGTGTGCCGGTTACCACCACCCTCACGACTTGTTCATCTTGTCATTTAGAATCATGAAAAAAATGTAGTAAAAATAATTTTTACTTTTACAGTTTTCATATAACTCAACACAAAAATGTCAGTTTAATTCCTGGCATTTCTTTAATTTTTATGAATTCTTTTGAACTTATGTGCCAATTTTGACTAGAATAATAATTTATCTGTCTGGTCTGATAGTGAAAAATTTTAGGAAAACCAAACATGTCACAGAATGTGACAGAGTGACACTTGACAGTTAGTGGTTTATGTATCTAAACATGTTGTAGATACGTAAACCATTGTTATAACTGACATTTGTAATTTAAAAATGCAAACAATCCAATTTTCAGCTACGGAGAAACCCATATGGATAGTTAGTGATGTGCGTCGTAAAACAGATATACGTTGGTTCAAAGAGACATACAAAGACCTAGTCAGAACAATAAGGATCACCGCAGACGAAGAAACAAGGAGGAAACGAGGCTATCTGTTCCAAACAGGCATTGATGATGTTCCATCTGAATGTGATCTGGATGATTACATGGAATGGGATTTAGTTATAGATAATGGTAGAAATAAACAGCAATTGGAGGAGCAACTAGGTAGTATATTAGGATTGCTCTCGCATTTATGATTATTTATATGGTTTGTGTTTACCCGTGGGTAAGATCTTTTGGGGCGTATTCAGTGTTGCATGCTGAATATTGTGTTGGCGTTGGTCTTATAGATGATTGTTTATTCAATCAAAGGAAAATCAAAAGGCAACTAGAAAAAAGGAAAAAAAAAGAAACATGTAGGCTTCTAACATTTAAAAGCAATTATGAACTGTCATAATTCACTTCACTGGCATATACTGCACTGTGCTTCTGTAATGGGTAGAATTTAAAGCTGGTCCATTATTTCATGTGAAATGTCAAATTAAGTACTTCAGACCTTTAAACTGGATCTCACAATTCATGCTGCAATTCAGACTGGCTTTGTCCCTATTGCCAATTGGACCCCTTCAAATCATTATGATATTACTCAGCAATGTTGCTTTGTAATCAGGAAAATAACACTCCAGTTTAAATCTGAAAATAGTTTCATTTCCTATGTGTAACAATCGCGAAAACCTAAGAACTCGATAACACTCCAGTTTTAAATTTAATTTATCAGAAATCTGTTTTATATGCCTTTTCCTCATTATAGGACATGAGCACAATATAAAATTAAGGAAAATGCCACATATGTAGAACTTTTGTTAACAGGATTACCTATTTATTAAAATAATTATTTTATTTAACAGAAAATCAGGCAGTTAACACAGTTTTTAAACTTTTCTTCCTTAATAAATAAAAGTTAAGTTCATTTGGTACATATTGAGAAATGCTTTACGTCTCCAGTACAGTGTTCTTTTTTAACAGGATGGGGAAATCTGAAACCATAACAGATACTGGGAAACTGTGTAAGGTACCATAAAGCCTTTATGTTTTTAAAATAATTATGTTGTAGTGAATTTTTTGAGTGAGTTTTTCGTAAAAATGATAGCAACAAAATATTTTTAAATTTATTTGCTTTCATGTAGGTATAATTTCATTGAAAAAAAAAATCTTACATGAAATGAATGTAGTGGCCATTATAAGGTCCTACAATATGTGACCACATCACACAGATAAGGCCCCGAAAATATTAATCTAAAAACTGTTTACTTTCTATACAATTCTAAGGATGTGCTCTTGTTGAAGGTTCATGTTGAAATTAAAATAAAATAAAATAAATAAATATAGACTACATCACGTATGTTGCTTTGATCCCAAAGTAAGTGGCTAAAACATTTCTGTTATGGAAATCGGGAACAACGACGTTACCACAAACACCCAGACCCGAAACAATATAGAAAAGATAATTTTCTACATTGACCCGGCTGGAAACCGGACCCTGGACCTAGATGACGGCGATACCATGAAAACCGGCGTGCAAGCCACTCGATCACGGAGGTCGTCGTCGAAATTTATTCGCGCGAAATGTGTCATTTGCTGAAACACATGTTTGTTAATATTTACCATTCAGCGTTTCGTGATCATTTTTTATGGCGAATATTCTTTCACTGATCACCAACGTTAATTACACGAAACGAAAATTACACTTATTTTCAGAGTTTTTGTAGTCTGCCTTTTTTGAGACCGAGTAAATTGACAGTTAATTGCGCAAAAGTGTAGTCCGCGAGCAGCTAGTGATTCCACTCGATAAATATTCTATCGAATATCGACTGAATATTGTTCACGCTTTTGGAATAAATAGCCGAAATTGTATCATTTGAACTGGCAATCCTATAAATGTAATTTTACTAAGAATTAACTTTACTAATTTAAAATTTTTATTGAATTGATGTTCAATTATTTTTTGTGAAATTATTTCATGAGTTTGTTATAATTATTAATACAAAGACTGAACACTCAGAAAAAATTCCTTCGATCCGTAATTACTAATTTTACTAAAAAAACACTATAATTACTCTTTGATTGAGAGGCTAAGCACGTGACCAGTAGTAGTTAGTTTTTCTGCTGTACATGCAATTGTTCTGGAAATTACATTTACCAGCTCAATAATCATAAGGAAAAAATTAAAACTACTCATGCGTCAAACCAATGACAGGAATCTAATCAGCGTTCTTCTAATTTATTAGTGGCTTGTGCTGCGTCTTACAATTCGGCCAAAATCAGTAAAAAATGAAAGTAATGCTTGTTACCGTCAATGTGACTTAAAATTGTTTATAGACTCAGTGAAGTCCATATTGTGACAAATGGAAATAAAGTACTTTGTTACTCCGCGAACCTAGTGAAGTTAAATTGTCGTCGTCATCATGAAAAAATACTAACACACGCAACTATTTAGGCATAATGTGTTACGTGATTATTTATTTGTTATATACAAATGAAGAGCTGGATATTCGTAATGAAATTGAACACGTTCTGAATACAGCGGTGTATGTAAAAAAGAGCTATTTTTGTTTGAGCAACTGTTCTTGTGAAGTAGTGATGTGTAAATTTTACACTGGAAATTTAAAGTGAATTTAACGTTTTACTTCGTTTGCGTCGTGATTTGAAATTTCTTTAGGCATTTGTTTAGTATTTTAAATTAATTACCGACTCACCATAATTTAACATCTTTAAAAAGTTGACAACATTTTACTTTTTTGGAATACCTACATTATTTTTAGGTTAAATCATATTTTATTTATAATAGTTACTTGACAATTTTAACAACGTTTTGCTATAAGGAGCCTTCATATTAGACGCTTATATAAGCGTTGCAATGGCGCGGCAGTCGCGCGTTACATTTAAAGTTTGATAATAATTATAACACTTGGGTTGATTGAGTTTTAACCGGATTTTTACTCAAACGCAGAGTTTTAATCCATTTCTGCCCAGAATAGTGGGCGAAACGGCGAATATGGAATTTGGTATAATTTCGTAGTTAATGCAAATTTCGATGTAAAAAATCTTTTTTGACGGAAAAGACGCAACTCCACACAATAGTAAGGATGGACATTACGAATCGGTTTTTATGAAGATCTATTAAAGTGCATCGACGATTTTTTTGTATCGATTTATTTCAATGCGATTTTCATGCGAATCGATTCAATAGAAAGGTAAATCGAATCATTTAGATCTGAAAGCAATAAACATTTCTAATAATATCATTAAGTTTGAACAAAACTCGATTTACAACAAACATTTAGTTGGAAATAGTTTTTGCCCTCGATTTCGAGCGTTAATGGGTTTTAACCCGATTTAAACTCGGCGTTAACTAAGCACTAATAATCCACCAAGAAGGCCATCGTCGTTATTGGTTATATATCTTTTTTAATTTATTGATTTTGGCAACAAGGCCATCAACATACACCAGTTTTAGGATCAACATCCACTGGACAGACTCGCTATTCTGCCTAATCTTTTGTATGCGAAATCTCTTACACCAAACTATAAATATTAATTTGTAATATTGATTATAATGAACATGATGATAATTTAGCTCCATGAAAGCCATTTATTTTTGTGACATTACTCCGCTAGTTTGATATATAGATTATAATTATTAACACGAAGAACAATTCCTTATACAGTATTGTTTTCCACTACATTACAATGTTTAATAATTGAATAGTATCGTATAAAAAGTTGTTATTAAATTTGATAACCATATATTTTTCCTGAAAGCGAGTCAATACACAAAGTAAAAAAAAAAATATTTTATGGAAAATCGTATGTGAAAAATTTAACTATATACTAAAATTATTTTCCTATACAAATATGTAAGGTACCTAAGAAAGTTTCCCTGCATCTGTTATACTTATAGATATCCTCATATTGTCCCAGTTAAAAAGTATACTGTATAATAATAGCTTCAATGTAGTCCATTATGACTCAAGTTATTTTAAACTTTGCAGTCGACCCTGTTGTTTTAGCTGTCCAATTTGCTCGTAAGTGTATTGTCGTCAATTATTTCAATCTATTTATTTTAGGTGATGGATGATAAAAATTCTGTCGATTGGATATTTAATATGATACAAATAAATTTTAATAATAGCATGGTACATTAATGGTACATGTACGTGCATTAAACCACCTCGTTTTTTTTAAGTATTTCAACTTCGCATTGTTAGCCTAATGGGAGAGCGGTCACTTCTCAAATGCGAGGTCGAGGATTCGAATCCCTGCGGTGGCGGGCTCAACAGCACATCAAGCTATGCGCTTTTCTTCAATTATCGCCTCCAGTACAAGATCCAGCAGTGTGCAGCTTGATGTGCTGCCTACTGTACCTATGAATTTTATTTCTAAGTTATGTACATCGTTGCGCCGAGATGATGTTCGAATATACCTTGCGAAAGTTTAAGACACTCTCATCTATGGATTGTGTTAGAAATATTTGATTGGCTCAATATTTACTTCCTTATTCCATCCCTTTCCCGCACAACTTTACTCGCATGCAAGAGCTAGACAAGAATCCTACTGGTGACACCTAGCGGACGAAAGAAACATTCTCTGCCGGCCGTTAAAATTTCGTCGATGAATGCAATGGCCGCGCGCGCAACCGCCTCCGCTAATAATTAATAGACATAATAGTGTACTGAAAAATAAAGTAAACAATTTGTGAATCATCAAGAATCGCTCCCTGACGAGTTAAGGAACTAAGATCGCTCATGAGATGAGTGGCAGAAAGTCGCGTGGTTGGCCTTCACGAGGTATTGTGCTTCCAAATTACCTACCCGTATTTGTGCCAATAATTCAAACTTAGGTTGATCATATTGATTTTTTTTATTGAATTTCACGATTTTTTTTGGTAGCTAGTACAGTATTAATATAATCACCACCCTAGACACCTCCACCCTGCATGCCTACAAGATCATGCCTCGTTTGAAGGACCCCATATCGTAAGACGGAGAGAATGCGTGCGCTGGAAGGGAGTTCAATTTCTCAACTGTGCGACAGAGGAAGATGCCACCAAACCTTTTATTTCTGATGGAATACGGCTAGTTGTAAAACGGTGACTACGAAGGCCAGCACGCGTGTTTCGGAGCAGGAAAGGGGAGGGCGGGATAAGGTTGAATAGTTCTTCAGAGCACTCGCCATGGTACATCCAATAAAAGGCGCTAGGTGATCTACACAGTTGTAGAGTACGACGTTACAAGTACTACGATATTTTGCCATCGTGATATTCATGTATTGTTTGTGAAGCAACTCCACTAGTTTGTTATAATTATTAATACAAAGAAAAATTTGTCGTATAGGATTTTTCGTCGACCTGGTAACTCGACCTTGTAGCTCAGTTGGCAGAGCGACGCTACTGTACAGCGTGGTCACAGGTCCTGTCGGGTCCAAATAATTTTTCTTTGTGTTCAATCTTCATTAATAATTAGGTTGATCCTATCGTTGTCACTCCCTGCAGAGCTGGCAGGTTTGGATTGTTCATAGTCATAACTTTTTTTTATAAAAAAAAAACCGACCTCAAAATTTGTGTAATTTCAGCCAAGTTTTATTCGAATCGGTTACCGGAAAGTGCGCTAAATCGCATTCATCGCCCTTGTTTGCTACCCTTAGGGTAGAATATTTTCTCAAAATAGAAATATAACAAAATTCTCATAATCAGCAAAATCGGTTTACAAATGGAGCCAGAGTAATCGCGTAACACATACACAAACTACATTCGTGACTACCTTTCCCTAACGGCGAAGGAAAATTTTGTGGTGAGAACGTGAGGCATCCTCAACCTGCATTGAGCCAGCGTGACTCTGTCTTTAGAGGAGACTCGTGTAATGCAGTTGACGGTGATGATACCAATTCCAACCTGCACATCCCTTTTAGAGAAAACAGTCTACCGTCCGCTACCGCAAAAAGCGCCTGCAGAGTTCTTGTTAGATTTAAATGTTAAACCTGTGATATTTCGACTCCTACGTATCGTAACCC